GTGGGACCAAGATAAAATCGAAAAACGGTCCGCACTAAAATCAAACACACAATTCCTGCTATTTATTACACGCTCAGCAATAGTAGAGCCAGAACTATTGGTTCGTTGGGTTTTCCTGGCACCCGGGTTCAAAATCCTGTGGGTTAGGTGTTGTTTCACTCTCAGATCCAAACGCTGGGACGTCCTCCCTATGTAGTCGAGTCCACAACTTCACTTATATTCATAAATCACGGAATTAACAGGATGGGAGAGGGGGAGGGACGTCCTTACGAATGGAAGAGAAAACAGGACGGGTAACGAATATTATCCGAACATTAGCCAAAAAATAACAGCCATTGATCATCTGCGAAATTCGTCTAAATAAAGCCTTACCCTCTGTACCAATATAGGAAAGACGCAAATAAACTGGACATTTTTCAACAAAATGCGGCTTAACCCTATGAAATTTATTAATGACATCATGGATAACGGAGCCTAAAACATCCAAAGGATATCCGTTTTTTGAAAGTGTCATCCTAACAAACTCAATTTCAACGCAGAGCAGAGAAGACTATCAGAACAAATCATATATATATATATATATATATATAATTTTGAAAAACAAACAAAATCCATAAATGTAAAAATGAAAAAATTGTCGACGTCAGACGTTTCGGTTTTAATAAACCATTTTTTAGACAAAATTCATTAAAATACAAATTCAACTCAATATGTATTTTAATGAATGGACATAAAAATGGTCTTATCCAACCGAAAACAGATAACGTCTTATATATGATTTATGTTTTTTTAACTATTTATGGATTTTTTTGTTTGTTTTTCAAAATTTTTTACATTCTTGTCGGATTTATATCCATTTACACTTGCTTATATATATATATATATATATATATATATACACTGATTCCATATAATGTATGGAGAGGGAATATACACGCACATACTAGCAAACAGACACACACACACACAATATACAAAATAGAAATAGATCTAAGCAGATACAAGATAAGAACGAAAACTTCCTCCCTAGCTCTGACCAGTGCTAATTGTTTGGTTAGCCTTTAAGCAGAAAAACACTTTTGCCCTGAGTCCAAGAAAAGCATTTGGGTTACTACTATACAAAAAAGACAATGGTTAAACATCGAAAAATATAAGGAAAATTATCTTCTTTTAATATCTGGAAATATGAACTCTTTGCCTGATAAAGGTCGCAAGACCAGAAACGTGTGTAGCAAAAATATGGAAAATAAAGTGTAATATATATTTAAAAAATCCACCTTATAACCAAAAACGTTTGCGGTTTCCCTCTTCTTTTTAATATATATATATATATATATATATATATATATATATATATATATAAATATAAATATAGTCTTAAAAAGAAATATAGTCTTAAGTGCTATATTTATGGGATAAAGTGCTCAATATCAGAGATAGAGCGTGTGTAAATATAAAAAGTGAACATAGAAGTCAACACTTAGAGGCGACAGTCTGTTTCAGGCCACGACTGCATCTAGCATGAAACAGACTGTCGCCTCTAAGCCTTATGTTCACTTTTATATATATATATATATATAGTACTTTGATGAAACTGAGCATATACAGTTATTTTCTCACTTAATTATCATATTCTTTAGCAAGGTTTCTGAAGGAGTGTGAAAAATGCGAGACAACCCTCACAGATAGTCATGCAAAATATTTTAGCCATCTCACATAGACCAAGGCTCTCGCTTTGTAATGAAAATGTCTCTAATGAAAATTTATTATATAATGTTTATTGCAAAAGTTTAATGCACATTGTTAATATTTTCTGTAGCGGCCTGTAACTTGAATAATTGCTTCACTGAGCCCCGGATGGGATACGTACAAGTCATTCACCATCTTCACAGGTACCCGATACTACTGTCCGTGTTTGGTCTCCCACATTTGAAGATTGCGTGGTTTCTTCCAATGAATTCTATTCATTAATTCTGTTAATATTTGATTCGCGATTTAAGTCAAGTCTCTAATGTTGACCAATCTTTTAATACAGTGACACATTGATCCATCAGTTTCCGCTGTATTCCATGCTATCTGTGATATGGAGCAACGTGATGCTAGAATATTTCCGCTTTCGTCCAAATGTTCGGTCAGTAATAGAATGTATTCAAGCTATCGACAGTTTAAACCAATTATCAGTTTTTATGCAGCCCTAAAGAATCTGATTTTCCCCTACGAAACGCCATCGTTTTCGTTGTGCAACGTGGGGATTTTTGCTTTCTTGTCGCCCTTCTGACAAATTCGCACTTATCAGAATGCATCTCCATCTCTCTTTTATTGCTTAATGTGATCTTACTTCTAGCATCTGAATTCTACAGTTCATACCACTTAGACCAAGTTAATGCTGCCTTCAAATACTTTTAATCTAAAGCTGGTTTCCTCGTTGAAATGGATCTCTTCAGACCATGTTCTTGAAGGATGCTCTTAGTGACGCCAAACTGAACAAATCAGATTTGATCTACCAATTGTCAGTCAGTGTTCTTTCACAATGTTTTTTGCTGTCCTGATCAGTCTCCGTGTATTTTTTTTATATACTGCAGCTTTTGAAGGCGACCATAGTTTGATCAATGTAAAGCAATTATAGTGCTCTGAGACTTCAAGAAATGACATTTATTGGCATTCCAAATTCCTTAGCGATTGCTCTTTGGTTCCTGTTCTTGTCCATTTTCATTCTAGTTTCGATAGAACTTTCAAAAAAAGAAAGAAAAAAATTCCACGTCAAAATGTATAAGAAAAATCGATCCTGTTTAAAAACAAAATATTTGCATTTTAGCGTTGGGAAAGAAAAGAGAAAAGAAAAAGGTCAGGTAGCCGAAGAACCTTGTATGGACACTTTTGGGTATCATCTTGCATTTTCTCTCCTCATTCGGAAACCCTTGCAAAAGAAAATATATAATTAGGTCTGAAAATGACACCAATATGGTCAAAGTTTCATCTGTAAACAGCAGAATTTTAAAAAAAATCAATAAGAAGACTTCAATGCATAGAAATTTACAATAATTTAAAAAAAAAATTATACGAACGAAAATTCAATAAGAATAAATTAATAAAAAAAGCTTAAACGCAGAACCTTGTCAGTCGTCTTTAATGAATGCCAATGTTGGAAACAAACACTCGCGTAGATGCTTCCTTAAACACGAAAATCCTAACTACACAGCTCAAACGTTATCTATCCTCCATACTCTCATTACGTTCACTGTCTTTTACTTTTGCATTCATTCATCATGCAGAACTATTTTAATATCAATAATAACAATAATAATAATAATGGCAGTGTAAGCCGTTTCCTTAAAAAGAAGCATTTAGCGTTTATTGCCCGAACAGAAGGTGTTACTGTCTGTTGGAATTTATAAAATCTTTCTCTTCAAACAATTTATCGGAAAAAAAGATTTCTCAAGTCCACTGCTATGACTCTTTCCAGCACTGATGAGGGTTTCCTTCCTAACCTTTTGTTTGAAGTTGTGATGAACGTCAACATAATGATTATGTCATTATTTTCTTCTTCGAGTTAGAGGTACTATCTGTTTTAGTTTTTCCCTGCTGTTGAATCTCCTCAAGTCATGTTGTTTCTCTTACTTGGTCCAGTTCTTTGACCGAAGATCTGTAGCGCTGTACCACAAGGTTCTACAGGTTTTGTTCGCTCGAAGCCATTTTTAACCATTGGACCGAGACAACTTTTGTATACAGTTGGCCTTTCAGAGATTTCCCAAAGGTTTCGGAGCCATCTCTAAAATCGATATGGAAGTCTCGATCTGACGTGGGTTTAGCCGTGCCATAAAAAAATGATGGCATATTTTGTTAAATCCGTACTATTATTAAAATTTTATCACATGTGAGGTTTAAATACGAGGCCAACTTAAAAAAATATCCTCACTTTCTCCATAACATATCTTTAAATTTGTTACACTGCATTCAGCTCATGCGTGCTTATAGTTGGTATAATTAGTGGTCACCCGATCGAAAATTTGAGCTTGATCGGGCCTGTTTCCTTGCTGCTGTTACAGTGTAAACATGGCCGCTCTGCGCGCAGTGTGCACCAAGGAGGAAAAAAGTGTAAATGCACTTTCAATCACTCCATTCTTAGGAGTACGAAATATATTATTTAATTAACTAAATCACAGAAAATTCTTGTGTTACTTCTGATTTCTGTGTCGCATATACTCTCATCTATCACAACAATGCGCAGATTGTGGAATTTCTGTACCTGCGTGAATTTTCCTTTGCCTGTTAAGTAGCTTCACATACTGGAATGCCTCTTTTGCTGTCAAATATGCATTCTGTTTCCTAACAGCTAATAGTCGTTCACTTAATAGTCCTTTTATTTACTACTTCATCTCAGACATCTTTCAATGGATAACTAAGCTACTAACATTTTATTCTGAGAAAGCCAGCAACGCTGAACTTGTGCTATAAATATTAAACACCGAATTAAATGTATTAACTAAGAAGGAGTTTATCTTGAAGAATTAATATTTATTAGGGAAAACAAATGTTAATTTCATTAGTCTATGAACCTATTGATATATCTACGTATATATAAAAATATATATATATATATATATATATATATATATATATATATATATATATATAGTTAATTTCATTAGTCTATGAACCTATATATATATATATATATATATATATATATATATATATATATATATATATATAGAGAGAGAGAGAGAGAGAGAGGAGAGAAATAAATTACTAATGTGTTTATGGATTTATTTTTCGATATTTTATTACTTCGAAGGTTATTATAGTGGATGCTTCGTATTCGAAACAGACGCCCACTTTTTCATTTATTAAGCAGTGTGTATTACGTCTATCACATGCACATTTGGCAAATCTTAGTAAAGGAAAATGCTTGCATGTGTAGGTCGATTGACGTAATGTACACTGTCTTATAAGTGAAAATGGGGCATCTATTTCAAATACGGAGTATCCACTATAATAACCTTCGAAGTAATAGATAGATAGATAGATAGATAGATAGATAGATAGATAGATATTGGTAGGAAATTAGATACATAGATAGATAGATAGATAGATAGATAGAGAGAGAGAGAGAGAGAACAGATTAAAAGACAGCGATAGATAGATAGATAGATAGATAGATAGATAGATAGATGCTAGAATTAATTTGTCTAAATAGAGTTTCTTCAAGCGGTGATAAATTTCGAATAAACAGATAAATGAGGTAAACATTTAGGAAACAAACGCTGAGCGTTTGTTGGAAAGTTCTCAGTCCAACCAAAGAAGAGACTAACCCATAGAGGTGGAACGTACATGCTATTAGAAATAATGACCTCGCACTTAAATATATTTAGTACATCATCTGTTGTGTTTCTAATCTCGCATCCGTTTCATACAAATAAAATGAAGGGTTTGTATATGCATTCTATTTTCCACAACAGTCTCTGAACATTGTGGACCGATTTCAACTGAACTTGACATGCCGAGAGGAAATGATGCAATGAGTCTTACAGGCTATGGAGAGTTGAGCTAGGTCAAAACTGATGGTCATGGTCATTCAAACAGTAAGTAACGTGTGCGAAGTAGAAAAAAGATTTCACTATACATCCCAAATAAAGGGCTCAGCGAAAAACTTCGTGTATAAAGATGAATAAAAGGCATATAAAAACTGTTCTAAACTCTCTGAATAGATTCATCTCTCTTTGAGCCCTTTTTTCTCTCTCTTCCTCTCTATGGTCCAAATTATATATATATATATATATATGGTCGTCCACAGACAAACTTTTTCGCTGTAACACAGCTCCTGAGTGTGACTAGACGTCCGATTGGCAACAGTGTGTTGTGCGCCGATTTCGGACCACGAAACCTGTCGATGTCTGAAGGACCTAATTATATATATATATATATATATATATATATATATATATATATATATATATATATATATACAGTGTATCACAAAAAATGAGTACACCCCTCATATTTCTTCAAATATTTAAGTATATCTCTTCATGGGACAACACTGACAAAATGACACTTTGGTACAATGAAAAGTAGCCTGTCTGCAGCATATATAAAAGAGTTACTTTATTTTTCCCTCAAAATAACTCAAAATATAGCCATTAAAAGCTAAATCCCTGGAAACAAAAGTGAGTACACCCCTTAGGAAAAGTTATCAATATTAACATACAACATGTCAATTGTCAATATTTTGTGTGGCCACCATCATTATCCAAAACTGCCTTTACTCTCCTGGGCATGGAGTTTACCAGAGCTTCACAGGGAGTCACTGGAATGCTCTTCCACTCCTCAATGACGACGTCGCGGAGCTGGCGGGTATTTGAGACTCTGCGCACCTCCACCTTCTGCTTGAGGATGGCCCAAAGATGTTCTATTGGGTTCAAGTCTGGAGACATGCTTGGCCAGTCCATCACCTTTACTCTCAGCTTCTTCAGTAAAGCAGTGGTTGTCTTGGATGTGTGTTTGGGGTCATTGTCATGCTGGAACACTGCTCTGCGACCCAGTTTCTGGAGGGAGGGTATCATGCTCTGCGGCAGTATTTCACAGTACATGTTGGAGTTCATGTTTCCCTCAATGAAATATAACTCTCCAATACCTGCAGCACTCATGCAGCCCCAAACCATGACATTCCCACCACCATGCTTGACTGTAGGCATGACACACTTATGTTTGTACTCCTCACCTGGTTGCCGCCACACATGCTTAAGGCCATCAGAACCAAACAAATTAAATTTCATCTCATCAGACCATAGGACATGGTTCCAGTAATCTATGGGCTTTGTTGACATGTCTTCAGCAGACTGTTTGTGGGCTTTCTTGTGTATTGCCTTCAGAAGAGGCTTCCTCCTGGGGTGACAGCCATGCACACCAATTTGATGTAGTGTGCAGCGTATGGTCTGAACACTAACAGGCTGAATCCCAATCTCTTTAATCTCTGCAGCAATGCTAACAGCACTCTTAGGCCGATCTTTCAAAGAAAGCATTTTGATGTGATGCTCAGCACGTGGACGACCTACCCGAGGCCTGTTCTGAGTGGACCCTGCTCTTTTAAAATGCTGGATGATCTTAGCCACTGTGCTGCAGCTCAGTTTCAGGGTGTTGGCAATCTTCTTGTAGCCTTGGCCATCTTTATGTAGTGCAACAATACGTTTTTTAAGATCATCAGAGAGCTCTTTGCCATGTGGTGCCATGTTGGATCTTTCAGTGACCGGTAAGAGAGAGTGTTCGAGCTGTGCTACAAATTTGAATACACCTGCTCCCCATGAACACATGGGCATAGTTACACTAATGAGTCACATGACATTTTGGAGGAAAAATGAAAAGCAGTACTCAATTTAGACATTTTGTGGTGTAGTTTCTTAGGGGTGTACTCACTTTTGTTGCCAGGGATTTAGCTTTTAATAGCTATATTTTGAGTTATTTTGAGAGGAAAAGAAATTAACTCTGTTATATATGCTGCAGACAGACTACTTTTCATTGTGTCAAAAGGTAATTTTTTCAGTGCTGTCACACAAAGAGATATACTTAAATATTTGAAGAAATATGAGGGTGTACTCACTTTTGTGATACACTGTATATATATATATATATATATATATATATATATATATATATATATATATATATATTGAAACTTGACTAATGCATGGAATAATAATGCAACACAAAATGTACTTAGAACAAAATGTATTGAAAAAAGAAAGTGTACACAATATTTACATATAGTCTTTTGTATATTCCTGGTAAGACCGTTCCTGGAGAATGTGTTGACTGAGTCGCAGTCGGGCAGAGTCTCTCGTTAAATCTCTTGATTCCTCCCTCTCTTCCCGGTACCAACCATATTTATATGGTCGGTACTCCACTATGCAAATTAGGTGGATCCTACCACAACAATATATCAATACTTTTTAAGTTTCTAGTTTATTTTTATATTTTTAACTTCAAATTTATCTATTATATTGAAATCTCCTCAAATCTAACTTCTTAAATGTTTATGTGTGTAGTTATGCATGTATGTACTCTGAATAGATTCTTCTTTTCTTTGACGACCTATTTCTTTCACTTCATCTATATTGCCCAAGCAAAGAATGGTTCTAACCCAGAGAGGTGGAACCTACATTCTGTTAAAAATAATGACCTGAAATACACTTAGCATATCATCTCTTGTGTTTCTACTCTCACTTCCGTTTCATTTATACCAACAACAGAGATATTAAAAGACATAGATATATAGCGGGATTATAAGAGAATTAGATAGATATTGGTGTAAGAATGTTTTATCGCTAGTGAGAAGTTATTCCAAGTATTTATTGCAAAATCATTGGAAATTGCTGCAAAATCACATATCCTCTCTATACCGTTGCTAGTCAAAGATTTTGGTATCTAGTTGGCTGACAGCTTGTGTATTCTACAAGTGCTCATTAATTATAAATACAGCACGTTCTCTGGCTGTCACTAGAGACCCAGCAATCATTTCGGCAGTGATTTATCGATCGGACAAAACTAGACAATGAATATGAAAATATTACATATGATAACACAGATAGATACAGAGATAGACTGAGATGAAAAAGACAGACCGACATATATATATATATATATATGAAATATTAAAAAATATATATATATATATATATATATATATATATATATATATATATATATATATATATATATATATATATATATATATATATATAATATTAAGGAAACATATATATATATATATATATATATATATATATATATATATATATATAACAAATCAAATATTAAACTTATATATATATATATATATATATATATATAATCTGTCTGTTTTCATATATATATATATATATATATATATATATATTTCAAATATTAAGAAATTCATATATATATATATATATATATATATATATTGTGAGATCGATAGATAGATAGATATATATGAACAGAGATAGATACATGTAGAAATAAAAAGGTAGATCGATATGAACAGACCAAGATAGATACATAGAAAGAGATGAAAAGATAGATAGATAGACAGATAGATAGATAGATAGATAGATAGATAGATAGATGGATAGATACGAATAGACTGAAACAGGTATGAACAGCAATGCAT